ACCCGAAATTTCAGCCTCCCAGCTTTCCTGATTGCTGAGATGAAAGTGGGTGACAAAATACACTCGTTTCCGCACACACACACAGACACATACACACACGCACACGTATAGTTATATTTGTGTTGATAAATCGTGATTTATTTGCAATGAATGAATTTAAATTGCAATTTAAATGTATGAATATTTGCTTATATTTAAATACTTAGGTGCAATTTAAATTATCGCGATTTGAATAAAATTACAATAAATTAAAAGGTTTACGGTAAAGAAAAATACCAGGGATTGTTACGGTACTTTCATTTTGCCATAATTTGAAGGAATTTTTGAGATTCCTAAGTAATTATGTGTTTATCTATATTAATTTGTTATTTTAATATTTTTTTTGGAACGCTTGAAATTCTGTTTTTAGTTTTTCGCCGCAATGATGTCATCATTCACATTGAATTTGATCCTCAGTGTATTCCACGGAGTGGGTGGCTTTCTGTCATGGAATGGATTGGCTAATTTTGGAGTTTTTGAGGTTATGCTTTATCAAAATATATGCATTTTTGCTAAAAATTTGAGTGGAAAAATACCGTTGCTTGTTTTTTTTTTGCATCTCTCAATGCCACACACACACACGTCTTTCACCTTTCGTAATTTTTCCTGAATTATGCAATTCAAGAATTGTTTTGCAATTTAAATGCCTAGTTATTTCCATAAAACATGAAACTCGTGAGATATTTGTAAAAAGGAATTATCATAATATTCTAGGAATAGCTGTATCATAATTCTCAAAAGTATGCGAAGATTACGATATTTTTCGAAATTTTTATTGCCGAGTGGTTTTTATTTTAACTGAAACTGGTGGAAATGCTAGATGTTTTTTTTTTATTTCCCTTCTGTCAAGCAGTATACTATAGTTTATATTTTATGGATAAAATTAGATTTTTGATTATCCACGCCAATTACCCACGCGATTTTGGCATTCTTAGATGAAGCTGGTGGTATTGCGGGAAAATCCTTAATAGACTGGCACACTATGGTGTTGGTTTTTTCTCAGAGACCCAACTATCTTACCCGCCATTCTCCATATCTCTTCCAGCCTTAAATCATATGGAATTCAGCTGAACTGAACTTCCTTCGGTTTGTACAGTCTTCTACTTTATTATTTTTTGGCCTACGTACGGCCACAAATTACCACCGCACATCTACCACAACCCCGACGTTTTGCTTGAAATGACTAATTTCGGCTGAACTTCCATGGCCCTTTCTTTTCTTTCTATTTCTTTTGTCTTTTATTATGCGTTTTTTGCAGCTATGTA